CAACATGTCCTCAGTGACTGAAGCACGCTTTAAATTACTCCTTATTTTTTTCCTTCATAAAATCAACACGGGAAACCCCAAATGAGCAGTTTCCTACCTAAAGTAGGAGTGCTGGGTCTGCTGCTCACAGCACCAACACTGAGGCGAGGGACTGTTATTCTTCCTGCAGAGGAAGAGACCTATCAAGAGAGAACACTCGGTTTAGCATCCTGTTAGAAATCACCAGTTCTTAACACGAAAAAAAGAAATGGTTCTTCCTACAAAACCACAGAGAGCCTATTTCACAGCAACAATACACTATTCGTATGCCAACAAAGAAGTACTCAAAATCTTCATGGTGTGAACGTCACTGGTGTGAGCTGAGCACTCCTGGACGTGACATAATGCCAAAGACCGGCAGGCAGCTGTTCTGGCAAACAGCACTCCAGTCAATCAAGGTAGTTTCTACCCGAAAAGCAAACTAGAACATTTTAATCAAAAATTATCATTCCACTCTACACCTAGCACATCCTGTGCCAACACCTGGAACCTTAAGTTCAACTTTTAAGATTCTGTCTTTAAAACATGGGAAATAAATTGAAATCCTACACACCGAGACATTCAGTATTTTCCAGCAAGCAAAGTAAGCAAGCTCTAAAGCAGAAAGAACTGAGGTATAAGTACAAAACACGGATAATAGCTATACTAAAGCCTTACTTTTGCCTTTTACAATCTGATATTCAACTTGACAATTTTGCTTTAATACTAAAAAGATTCACAGAAACATCTTAAGCTTTCAATTTAAAACTACCTGCAATAAGAATACTTGCAAATCCGTAGAGATAAAGACCACTGATATAGTTTCAATCACTCTTTTTGACAGGCACAAGTCAGTATTTGCCAACACGTATCCTTCAGAGGTCTGGAAAACTAATTCCAACAACATTCCTGACAAGCAACATGGGCAGTGAGTGAATCCTCCCCTACCCAAATCCCTTACCTTCTTCTGTAACGACTTCAGCCTGTAGTTGGGAGCTGTCAAGCAGTATCTGTCAGGTGGAAGCCTGGGTCCAGAATAAGGCTTTATCAATGGCAATGGCGTCTGGTTTTTCTGCCTTGCAATATCTAACAAGAACTGGAGAGACACGGTTACATTCCCACTTGTGGTCTTTTATTGCATTCTGTGATTATCAACATGGGTTTACTTACGTCTCTTGGAGGTGGAGATGTAAACGACTGGTCTGTGCGACACTGGATTGCCAACCTCACATCATCTGCATCGACGCTGGACTTCTTTGCATGGCTCGAGTAAATTTTTGCATCTTCCAGTATAGTAGTCACATACCCTTTGAAAAACAGGA